TGTATCACTAGTTTCAATTTCTCCTCCCCCTCACGTCACCCGCGCTGAATGTGAGGAGGCGCGCTAGCACATCAACCTCGTCTGTCGAGTAGCGTAGGCCTTGGTTCATCTGCCTGGTCTTGGGTGTATGATAGATTTACGGGCCATGGCAGAGATGAAGGTCAAAGATTTGATCGACAACGCTGCAGAACCAAGTACTAGTCGCATGCCCTTGCATGTAATATATGTCTATGTAGATAGCGTGCGTGATATGGTATGTATCTAAAAGTACGTGTTGCAGCCCAGCGCAGTATCGTGCAGTCTGGTTAGATCGAGGCAAAAGTGGGGTCCAAAAGCGAGCAGTAACCAGATATTCAGAATCCCATCAAAGAAAAGCAAAAACAAACCCAAAGCAAAAAAGAAAGACGTTAGTTGGGGTCGTGGGTCATGGGCGGGGATGAGGAGGTCAAGTCTATGGCGGAGGGAAGAGGATGGGTGGGGAGGGGGGGAAGGTCCGAATAATAATAGCTAAACACCGATAGCAAGGAACACAAAAAGTTCAGAGGGGTAAGAGCACATCCACGCCCGGTGGGCTGCTTAATGCTTTCTGCCTTTCTTCTTCTTTCCGCCGTTGAGAATCGCACCCGCGGACTGGATGGATTTTTGAAGGTCGCCGCTCTCTTGCATCGCGCGGAGGGCAGCGATGTCGTTGACAGCGACGCGCTTGCCGCCGATGAGGAGGACGGGGAGGTCTTGCGCTTCGGTCAGCCGGAAGATAAGCGGTGTCAAGACGGCGGCATCGTCTGTATACCGGATTAGATAAGGTATGCGAAAAAGACGGGAAAGCATACCTCGCTGGTCGACTTCAAAGATAGTGGGCTCTGGGCGGAGGTTCAGGCTTGCGAGCGTCGTCTTTATCTCACGCGATAGCGGCGAGTGCGTCTGTGCAGTCGATAAGCAGAGATTCCTCGATTGAACGAGCATCGCACCTTTGAGAACAACATGACGGGATTTGTCGCCCAGACGTCGTGCACAATGTGCTCGACCTCCTGCTTTGCCCGTGCGCTGCGCGTGTCAAAGTCGAGCACAAGCTGCGGGTCGATTGGCTTCGCTGGATCCACGCTCGACGGGATCACGTTTTGGGGTAGACTCGCGATGAAACTGGACACGGCCGCGAGCTCCTGCGCGTCCGTGAGCTGCACCTGCGGATTCTTGAGGCGGAAGAGTCGCGACGCGGGTAAAGCCTCAGCGTCAAGCGGAATCTGTGGCACCGGATTCGACCCTGTGCGCATTCGTATTGGCGCGAGTGCCAGCGCAGGTCGAGAGATGAAGAAGACATATGTGGAGAGGACGATGAGGGAGAAAAGGGCGAGGAATGTGGTGCGGTATTTCGGTTTGCGGGGCTGGACTGTAGCGAGCATCGTGCTTATCGACAACGGCAGGTTCAAGGACATCGGAACTTGCCCAGGAGTGCTGCTGTTAGGCTGGGGGAGGTCGGTAAGGGGAAACCGGGTGGAATTGGTGCGGCGATGGGCCATTTGTGGTGATTATAAGGAATGTCAGACAACGTTATTCACGCGTTGTAGGCTAGAAGAACAGCGAATTAAAGCAAGGACCGATAGCACCTCGACCAGAAAGAGAAAAGGAACGTTTGTTCGCGATAAAGCTGAGGGAAAAGTGCAGTCCAGCGGCAAAATATTGTTGTCTTTGTTCCCCCTGGCCGGCGTTGGCCTCAGACGGCATGCCCGGCCGACGCCTTGGCCTTGATCGGCTGTTGTCCAACTGCACAAGTTGCTCTCGATTTTGCTTTCCCCGTTCTTGTTCTCGACATGACAGCACCTAACACAGTCTCACGGACCCAACGAGGCGTCGTCGACAGAACAGCATTGGAGCACCACCATAATCATTGTGTTTGCGCCGTGGCATTCGAGGGACAGAAGCACGGCAAGTCCTGTTTTCATCGGGAAGATCTAGCACGGCACACACTACTTAACCCCGGATCGAACCTGTACACGAGGCAAAGATGAAATGTCTGCCGGGCTTGCAAGTGGGCCGGGGCATGTGTAGCCTGTACGAAGCGACGGTTATGACGGCGAGCACAAACTTATCGATGGCGGTCCGGAAAATGCGCGGACGTGGTTCAAATGTCGGAGGGGGGATGCAAAGACTCTGTATTCAGTGCCCACCTGGAAGATATAATTTATTTCTGCGTAGCTGTCGTACAAGGCAACCCTCTGTGAGATCATGAGAAACATCAGTCTCTATCCCAGAGCGGGGATCAACGGAAGTATAACACACCACACGATGATCATTCCCAAACGCCACAAACTTACACGGTGTATGAACTGCTATCTGCGTTGGTCAGGACGCCTCGGTGTAACGAGGCAGCCCCCAGTCCTCGGGTTTGAATTCCTCTAGCGAACGAAGGACCGCGTCTGCACGCTCCGAGCCCGTATATTCCACGTCGAGGAGATTCGCGTCGGGGACCCATACGACTGCCGCGTGCGAAGATACGGTGATCAGTTGGGTTTGGATGCAGAAGTAGGCAGGCCACAGATAAACACACCATTCATTCCTGCACGCTTTCCAGCCTGCATTCCGGGGATGGCGTCCTCGAACACCAAGCCCTTCGCTCTGTCCGCCAGCTCACTCTGACTGCACTCCGAGTAATATCCGTATCCCACTGGCCGATGCAATTCCTGCCGCGCAGCGGCTAGAAATATGTCCGGGTCCGGCTTACCTACTAGTTTTCTTTTCCCGTCGCGCCCCCCCACGTCGTCGTCTCCGCAGATTACCCGGCCCTCAAATAGGTCAAAAACGTCTCTCAGACGGCCGGTCTTGAGCTCGTAATTGCGTCGGCGGGACCCGGTGGCCACTGCGATGGGTATACCGTGTGCATGGAGGTGCCTGATTAGCTTTTCGGCGCCGGGGAGGAGTGGCACGCTGGGCCAAAGCTCATCTTGGAGCGCGTTTCGTTGGACGAGATAATCGGGGAGTGTGAGGGAGATGCCGGGGAAGAATGAGAGTAGGTGTTTCGCAGCTTTGTGTTCAGCTACATCGCAGTGAGTACGCGCGCCCATTTGTTCATGATCAACTGTGGATCGGACCTACGTTTCCCCATGCACCCGCTCTTTATGTCCCAAGTCATCTCGACGCCGTACGGCGCGAGTATTTCGTCTGCACCATTTCAGAAAGCTATTTTTCACCGGACAATTGTATGCTTACTGGTGACCTGTGTGTATATCTTCTCCGAATCGAGCAAGAGACCTGTACGCGCGTGGTTTGACGCGTTATACACCTGGAAAATGTGACTCTGCTTACCGTCCATGTCAAAGATCACATACTCGATTTTTCGATCTGCCATTTTCGCTGCTAGCTTGCTGTCGATTTACAAAGAGGAAGACCGTGACGGCGAGACGAGAGCCGTTACCGATCTATGACATAGGGAAATATCTACATCTGGCCTTTAGGTCCGAGTCGTACGCGATCGGCTGTGCAACCAAGCTTGCCGTCGTATTTATACCTTCCCCGCATTACACTTTCGTTTTTACCTCCAAAGCTTTTCATTTCGCCAATTTTCAGCTTGCTGTGCAACGCGACTTTTTCAAAATTCCCGCCATGGACCACCGCAAACGACCCAGCATCAATGTCTCGAGCCCACCGCCCTCCGTGACGCGCTCCCCATTCCGCAGGCGGCGTCTCCTCTGGATTTCTGTCTCCTTGCTCGCACTGTTCATCTATCTCGTTCCTTGGGACCTGCCCTCCTTCGATCCTTCCGTGCCCGCACTGTCTCGTGCTAACATCGCCTCTCTTGTGCGTCCGGGGCGCTATGAGCCCGACGAGATCTGGGGTCTGTTGCACATGGTGACGAGCGAGGAGCCCATATTATTGGGCCATGGGTCGGAGGTCGGGGAAGGGGAACAGAGACCGGTGGACATGGACAAGTACGCGGGCGTGACTGTGAATGACAAGGTCGACTGGAAGAGGAACGTAAAGGTGTTGAAAGAAAAGTATCCTGTGGTTGTGTTCAGCAAGGTGCGAAGAGCAATTTATCTTTTGCGTCAATTCCTAACCTATCTCTTGATAGACATACTGCCCGTGAGTCTCACAAGATGTGCCGGTTCTCAGCGTAAATTGACATGCACCTCACAGATACTCGAAAAAAGCAAAAGCGCTCCTGGAAACATACAGCCTGCGTCCACAGCCCAAAATTGTGGAAGTTGACCTCCGCGGTACGCCACTTCCTTCCAGCGATTAACACTGTCTCTCAGCGATGTTAACTAATTTATCTCCGCATAGACGACGGGCCTCTCTTGAAATCCATCCTCACGCGACTCAGCTCTCGTGCTACATTCCCGAACGTGTTCGTACACGGCGTGTCTATCGGTGGATACGACAACCTCGCTGCACTTCACGAGCAGGGGAAACTGGTCAGCACGTTCGAGAAGGCAGGTGTCAAGGTCACTGGCGAAGTGGCTACGAGGGCGGTGGAAGACTAGAGTGGAGGTGGCACTAGCCGGGAAGGAGAAAAGAATATTGCATACGGACAGCACATAACCTTGCATAGTTATATATCCATTGTCACTGATCTGTAATTGTACTTTCACCTTGCCGTCGTCGGTCGCGACGATTCTGCAGCTAACATGCACCTGTTGGCACTCCGAGAGGCAGTGACTGGGGGTCGCCTGTAATCAAATTCACTGATAACACTTTCCGATGCGTACATGCTCGGATCCCACGCGACGCGCGATTTTTTTTTGGACCAGTGCCGTGCGCCACAAATTCTTGAGTTCCAATGCTACATACACACCGTATCGTTCGTATTTTTCGCCCAATTCCTCCACAGATAATGCTGGAGTACTCATCCAAACGTCCTGTAAAAGTTTGGGATTTTTCGGTGGCCGGAGAGATAGATAAAAACTGATGTGTTCCTCCTCTACATCATACATCCGCTGCAATCGACCGCTCTCACTGTTGCTACCGTGTAAAATTGAGGCGTTTCGTCGTACAGACAGGGAAAATGATCCGGCTGAGGCTCGAACTCAGGACCTTCTGTGGAAGGTCATCGGTGGTTCGGACCTCGACGAGATTCGAACTACCGATGAAGTGTTAGACAGATGCGATAACCAACTACGCCATCGGACCGTTGGTAGCCTTCAAAACTTGAGCATAATACCTAGAGAATAGGAAATACACTTGTCAATCCTACTTACTCTATGCTGTCTTGACTTTCCTGGCTTACTGGCAGTCCTCGTCCATGAAGAGGATTTTCCTACAATATGTAAGGCTACTACGATCATAGTAAGTACTGCTGAACCTTTATGCAGTGCAAATTTGTTTTGCACCCTTATACAAATAATGTTCCATCTACTTTAGCCACAGGGTTACGATATTCGTATTTTCAGTTACTCCGATATTTTGTATCGAGGAGAACGTTGCATTTGAAAGACGCGTCGAAATGTCGAGACAATGTTTTGCGGCGTGGGAAAATTGCTCCTTCGGCCGCGGATGTGCTCGGCGTTCGCGCTCAGGAGCTCAACCGTAACGTCAACCACCTATTAATTTCGACGACATACATATTGCAGCTGAATCTGCAAGTTCGATGAACACGCACCGCGACTCCGAACGAAATGACTCACATGGACTGGCCTCGGGCTCGCAACAGGCTGTCAAAAAGAGGAGGATCTACCCTGCTTGCGACCTTTGTAGACAGAAGAAGGGTAAGTTCTATCTTTTAATGTCGGAAGGGACGAGACGTCTGTGTACTGAGGTCGCGTTATGAGCTCAGTCCGATGTACGTTCGCTTGGTCGCATATCCAAGCGAGACCGCCTCTTGAAGGATACCACACTTTGTAGGTGATGGCCTTGCAGGTGTCGGAAAATGCCGTAATTGTCTTGCCTCCGGATCGCAGTGCACGTACGCAAACCCAGCGAGGTTGAAGGTAAAGAATCATAATTGAGACCCTGAACTCTGACTCTTACTGCTATACCAGAAACAAGGGAGCCTGGCATGGTACGCATTATCATCTCTGTACGCGTCGCTTGTAATACTCACCTCGCGTCGGAAACGTACCTAGGTCAAGAGAAGACTCAGAACGCAGGCTCAAGAAATTGGAGTTCTTACTGCAAAATGTCCGCAGGTGTTACTTTATTGTGCGCCCAGTGTTTGTGCTGATAATATACACCTGACTAGCCTCGTCCCAACGGGGACTTTTCTCGGGAATTGGGCATCCGCGTACATCCCAGCTGGTTCACTGATCAAGACATCCACTCTGCTTCAAGCCATGATCTCTCTGCGCCTTCTCTGTTTTCCACCACCGCCCCCGATTCCATGCAATCTGCCGAAGACAGTCAGTCCGAAAGCGAGGACGTCGAAGAAGGGCCCGACTCTCTGACAAAGCATCTGGAGAGTTTACACTTGACCGACCGATTCCTCGGAAAATCCAGTGGTGCTCAACTTCTCAACCACGTCCAGGAAATGAAGCTCACGCACAATGATGTCAAGCCTACCCAGCGACCCCGACCGCACATACGGGCCCGATTTTGGCGCGTGAAACCGGTACGCAATTTTTTCTTCATGCGTTGAAAACCGAATTGAGGCCCGCCGGCCATATAACAGTGGGAGCAGTATGCACCTCTGCCAGAGAGACGTGACCTTTTCTTCCCCGAAGCGGACCTGTTAACCACACTGGTTGATCTTTACTTCGCGAGGTACAACGTATACCTTCCCCTCCTCCACCGCCCAACATTTGAACGTGGACTAGCGGATGGACTACATCTGGTAGACGATGGCTTTGGTGCCACTGTTCTTCTTGTCTGTGCCCTTGGGTCGCGTTATAGCACAGACCCTCGGGTCTTCCTTGTCAACAACGAAACCGACCTCAATTCGGCAGGATGGAAGTGGTTCAACCAGGTCCAGCATCGCAGCTCGATATACACGCCGCTCAGACCATGCGAGCTGCAAGTAATTTGCGTGAGTGCTCGCTTCTCTCCTCCATACGCATACGAGTACTGACACATCTTGCAGCTGTCTGCTTTATTCCTGCAAGCAAGCGCTGCCCCACACGCGACTTGGACTTTAATTGGGGTCGGTGTCCGCCTCGCGATAAGCTCAGGCGCGCATAGACGAAAACCTACAATCACTGTCGAAGACGAGTTATGGAAGCGCGCATTTTGGTGAGCGTCACTTGCATGATCTTTAATCTTATATGTTCCCTATGCTATATATCTCCTGACCGCATGCTTTTTTGAAGGGTACTTGTCTGTTTGGACAGGACTGCAAGTGCCACTCTTGGCAGACCGTGTCCGATGCAGGACAAAGAGTAAGCAAAGGCATGTACTTTTCGAAAACACTCTGACTTCGTGTGCACAGCTTCGACCTAGATCTTCCGAACAATTGTGACGATGAATACTGGGAAAACATCGAAGATCCCGAACAGAATTTCAAGCAACCGCCAGGAAAGCCATCTGGGACCGATTTCTTCATATGCTTAGTGAAGTTGAATCAGATAATCGCGCTTGCTCTGGATAAGATTGTAAGGCTGATATTATATGACGTTCCTTTAAGCCATCTTAACATCCAAATATTACAGTATTCAGTCGACAAGTCGAAGATTCCACGTAGCTACGTGAAGGGAGGGGAACAGACGATTGTTGCAGAACTTGACTCCGCATTAAATAAGTGGCTTCAAGAGATCCCGGATCATTGTAAGCTGACCTCTACTATGACCTGTTTCCGGACTCGCGGTGCTTACTGCGCTACAGTGCGCTGGGATCCAACACGCGAAGATGCGCTATTCTTCAACCAATCAGCCTCGCTGTACGCGAGCTATTACTACGTGCAAATCCTCATACACCGGCCATTTATACCATTCTTACACAAGGCGTCGCCGGTATCATTTCCCTCCCTAGCAATATGCTCCAATGCTGCGCGATCGTGCTTCCATGTTCTTCTCCTTCAGTATGAACGATTCCCTGACAGCTTGCTGAAGCAGTATGCGTTTGTAAGGCTGGTCATGTTTATTCTCGCCGAAATGTTGCTAACCGGAATATGCATGCTCATAGCCGGCGCTGCTGTCCTCGAGCATCGTCCTGCTTCTGACCATCTGGGGTGGTAGACGGTCGGGGGTGTCTATAGATAATACGCAGGAGATGGCGAATGTGCACAGGTGTTTGGACATGCTCAAAAGCATGGAGGATCGCTGGCTCGGGGCAGGACGTCTATGGTTTGTTCCAAAATCTGCGATATCTCAAACTGGCATATTCACAACCTTCAGGGATATTCTCCACGAGCTGGTGGCCGTCGGGGACTTGCCATTTCCCGACGATCCCCCAGACAGCAAGAAGCGCCGTCGCGACTCCGAAAGTGGTGATGCCCCAGGCAGGTCGTCCTCCCGGGGTCAGATCTTTTTTGACCCAGTTCCGACTGGAATGGACCTCGCCAGGTGGCTATCCACGGACGTTTCTGTGCAGGAAGAGAGAAACGCGTCGTCGTCGTCGAATCAGCCACCCCTGTTCTTCAGCGACAGTGCGCCTGACACCTTTCTAGCGACGCCTTTTCAGCAGGCGCCCCTGGATCCATTTGCCACGCCTGACCTAGGTTCTGGCTTGTATCAGCCGTCTATTCCTGGGGAGACAGGCAGTAACGTTGCTGATGCCGTCGACGTCTGGTCTACTGCACCTACTAGCTTTGAGTGAGCACCGTTAACTTTTTGACATGCATCGAACTCTAATGCAGTATATTCCTATTGCCAAGGTTAGACGAATGGGGAGCATACATCATGGATATGATAGAACGAGATCCGCATGATCTCTCGGACAATACCAGCTACTGACCTGTCTTCGATCGATTTCGTAGCCTGAGACTATGTACATGCACACTGACGTGTAATCCTGTAGAGGAGTTTCTCTCGGTTTTTGCAATTGAGTAAGATGCATAACCATAGTACTTAGTATGGCCTGATTCTTACGGAGCGCCGACCAGTATACAGACTTGTTACTATTACCTGTCGACCATAAATAAGTACAGGGGTGGGGGCGTAGGTAGCAAGCTATAGTAGGAGCTAATGTAAACTGTAGGCTACAAGCCCATTATCTAGTTGGCCGGAACGATCGCGAACCATTTCGCAAACACCGATTCCGGGTCGTACTTCTTCTTGATGACCTGCAGTCTGGGATAATGGTCCCCGAAAAGCAGCTCCGCTTTGCTCTTGGACGATTTCTCCGCGGGCACGACCCCAGTGGTCCCTTCGCTGTCTAGAAATGGCAATCCCGTCAGCCCTTCATGCCAACAACGCTACCACACATCGGCGTACCGTAGTTCCCATAGCCCGAATTCTCGGGCCCAAGAAGTGCGGCCTGACCCCTCGAGATGATGCCTGCGAGTTCAGGCCCGATCTCACGCGCCTTCGCCTCATTCTCCGGTGTGTTCGTGACCCACTTTAAGAGAACCAGCGCGTTCCCAGCACCGCTACGGCGGAACGCCGTGGCACCGGCAGGGGCACTGTTCATCTTGGTGAGCGGGAAGTACTCGATCATAAGGTTGGTTTTGAGGAAATCGGGATTTGCGGTAGCAAATTCGTTCGCGCGGGCATGAGCTGCCCGGAGGTCCTCATAGTTTGGTTTTACTTGGTAGACACCTTTCATATATGAACCGTAGCCGTGCTCTGCTTCCGGGTTCTGCGCGGACAGTAAGACGTCGGCCAGATGTATAATGCATGAAAATAGCAATTTACCTGCAGGGTGTTCAGGGTCTCGTAGGGAATTTCCGCGGAATGGTCCACGATAGGTCCTGCGGGTCATTAGTTTGATATTGGGGTGAGGACAATCCGTCCAGCCGTGCCGCCTCACCGATATCGAGTAGATCTTTCCAGTGTGCTCTTCCTTCGGCTTCCGAACCATTGAAAAATACGATGACTACTATGCAAGGCTACACAAGGTCAACCACTGGATAAATTAATAATAGTAATGTGAAGTTACCTTTCCATCGTGGTCTGTGGTGAATATGTGGACGGCACCTTCGTGGGGCGAAAGCCCCGCCTCTAGTCGCTGGTTAGCCAGGGCTACCAGTGCCTCGGTCTTGTCCACAGAGAATATTACGGGACCGGCGTAAATAGTTTTGCGTTGCGGGTAAAGCTTCAAAACGA